AGAATCAGAAGAATGAGATTTACCAATTAATTAATTGACAAGCGTTGAATAATTAATTAATTGGGTTGTTTATTAATATGCCCGAATTAATTAATTGGATTAATTAATTTATGGAGCAGATTTAATTAATTTGATTAATTAAATATCAGACCGAGTTAAATTTAACATATGGCCAGCCCATTTGGACTTATATTAATAGGCTACTAGGGTTTGAAAATCGTATGGAATTTTTTATTATTCTTACTTGCACAAGAAAAGAAAACCCTAACCGTCATTCTTGTTCTCAGTGTGGATCACCATTGGAGGCTGGACAATTAGACAGCTTGGATTGTCGATCGTGATCATTGGAGTTCGAGAATCAGCAAAAGAGTTTTCAGAATTTATGAAATGTATTATTCTTAACACAGTTTCTATCTAAACATAAAGCAGATTCGTGGTGGGAATTGAAAAATTATTAATTTTTCGCTATGCATGTTGAGTAAATTCCCAACAAAAAGTTCTTAAGAAATTCTTTTTTTAATTATTTGACCAATCAAACCAATTTAAGATGGTAAATATATATTTCCATATAGAAGGTACATATTGCATCTCGTTTAATGCATGGAAACCCTAAAATCCACAGCCAAGAAATCTGTTTACCTGTAGCACCCAGTCAGTCTTAACCACCGGCTTAACTGAAGTCAGTCATAACTGTCAGACTTACCTGTTTGTATACGTTTTTGGCACATGCTTTGACATTTAAAAATCATTCTAATTTAAGCCCTTGTTTGATATCCATTTTAAAAAATATATATTTCTTTCTATTCTTTTCAACTACACATTCTTTAATAAAATAATATTATATACAAACTCAAAATATCTCCTTATTTTATAACAACACATTTCTCATCAATCTACTATTCCAAAATACATTCTTACGATAAAAACAGGAAACAAACAGACTCTAAGAAAGCTAATAAATAAATAATATGTCAAAATATAAAATATATTTTACTTACACATTGGATGATGGGTTTCTAATGACTTCTCAAATTCAACCCTTTGGCATAATTCACATTGGTTGCAAACACCTAACCTTCTTACAATGATTCAACTCTCTATCTCTCTACACTTGTTCTCTTTGTTTTTCCCCTTTTGAGGTTTTCTCTTTGTGAAGAAGAAAAAGAGTGTTTTCTTGAAGATAGAAGGTGATTAGGCTTATGATTTATGTAACCAGTATTCTATGTGAGGATGTAATTTAGCTATGTTCTTGAAAGATTTGTTGGCATTTTTGTGTTGTAAACTTGTAAACTCTTACTGTTGTTTTGATTGGTGCTTAGTGCTTGGGTGTGATCCCTTATTTGATGTCAAACGGCGAATTAGGCGTTGGAAGCAATTACCAGTCCTTTGAAGTTGTGAATGAGAAATCCTTCACTTCTCTTTTAATTCTAATTTCCATAATCTAGACTTTTATATTTTGTCAAAGCTTACCAGTTAACATTTTCTAACATACGTACATGTAAACGGTATATTCTATCCAGACTTCTTTTTCTAAGTGATAGAGTTTTGTGAATTTTTATGGATCTTGTGGTAGATTTATGTAGATTTTCATTTAGAGGTTTTATTTTATTTTTTCAAGACTTTCATTTAAAATATATTCACTTGGGTCTAGAGCACCAATAGAAAATTTTCACATAAGATATGGAGGTTCAATCCTTAATTACCATCCCATTTCTTTATCCCATATAATAAAAAAAAATTAAGTCACCTCAATTAGATAAGTAAATAATCAAAAAACAAAAAAAAAAACTATATAACATTTCAATATTATTTGACAAGAAAAAGTAAAGATACCTCTAACGTTCAGTGGTTTCTATATTTCAAATATTTAAGAGTAAACAATTAATCAATATATTTGAGATTTAATTATGACTTAGACGTTCTTTTTATAAAGTTTTAGAGCATATCTGAAAGACTATATTTTTAAAGAGCATATTTTACAATTTAGAGAACATATGTAAATTTAGAGAAAAAAAATTTAAATATTCTAACATAATCTTTATCTTTAACACTTAAATTTACTATTTTTAAAAATATTTATTACTTTTCTTATAACTTATTTTCACAAGTTTCATTCCAAATTATTATATTATTACCTCAATTGAAAATTGAAATACTTTACATACATTTAATTTAGAGAATGTGTTTGACTCTCTCAATTTAGAGAGTCAAACTCACTCTTTATTTTAAAATGTTAATTTAAATAGTCGTTTGAAACATAATATTAAAAGTTAACTATTTAAAATAAAGAGTATTTTATGTTTAAAAAAAAAAAAAACTATATAACATTTCAATATTATTTGACAAGAAAAAGTAAAGATACCTCTAACGTTCAGTAGTTTCTATATTTCAAATATTTAAGAGTAAACAATTAATCAATATATTTGAGATTTAATTATGACTTAGACTTTCTTTTTATAAAGTTTTAGAGCATATCTGAAAGACTATATTTTTAAAGAGCATATTTTACAATTTAAAGAACATATGTAAATTTAGAGAAAAAAATTTAAATATTGTAACATAATCTTTATCTTTAACACTTAAATTTACTATTTTTAAAAAATATTTATTATTTTTCTTATAACTTATTTTCACAAGTTTCATTCCAAATTATTATATTATTATCCTCAATTGAAAATTGAAATACTTTACATACATTTAATTTAGAGAATGTGTTTGACTCTCTCAATTTAGAGAGTCAAACTCGCTCTTTATTTTAAAATGTTAATTTAAATAGTCGTTTGAAACATAATATTAAAAGTTAACTATTGAAAATAAAGAGTATTTTATGTTTAATGAGTTTTTTAGAGATGTTCTCATAAAATTAAATACAAATTGATATTTTTTATAAAAAGAATTGGATGAAAAAGAAGAGAAAAAATATTAATTTGTAAAATATTAGAGAGAAACGATAAAAGAAAAATGAGAACAAATAAAATTTGTAAAAAATTATTAATTTTTTTAATCGTGACTCTAGAGTTTATGGAAGAGAAGAGAAAATAAAAATATTGAAAGGACAAATATGCATGTTAATAGACATTTATCTAGAAGTCCCCCAAAATCTCTAGGATGAATGAGGAAAAAAATTGAGAGATTTTCGATAAATTTGAAAAAAAAAAATTTAGAAATTTTTGATGGGCAATCCCCTCAATCTTCACAATCTTGCGGATAGATTTGCAAGTTTGTTGATGATAGGATTCATCGTGCTTTCTCAATGGATGATATTTCTCAACTCCAAATAAAGTAAACTAATCAGCAACTTTTTCTTGCCCAGGGTAAAATCAACTTAATACGATGGATGCTCCAAAAGAAATCCAACAGTAGGAATCGAAGGTCTTATTAGGGATGATCAAGGAAAATGGATGTTAGGTTTTATGGGGAGCATAGAGCATAACTACGAGCTTCATTATGGAATTATGGGCTATTCTCAGTACTAGTTCGAATCATGCTACACAAACATGTTCAAAATCAGGCTAAAAAATAGGGGAGACATGTGTCGATACATGATTAGATAGTTTATAAAAAAAAATTTGTCTTTGAGTATGTTCACTCATCATTATTTTATTAGTTCTCTTCTTTTAGCTGATTTAACAGGCCTTGCTAAGGTTTGTACATAGTTATTTCCCTATTTTATTGTTTCTTCTCATGTACAAAAAAAATATAACTAAATGGATTGTTGATCTAAAAAATGGATTGTAATTTCAAAGCCAACCGTATAATTTCTCTCTCAATTTTTCAAGGGATTTTTCCTCTTGGAAGTTTTTAGTATTTT